TATCCAGTCTATTCAGATTCTACAACATTTTTATCGAGATTAAAATCATATAATTCTTTTCCATCCACTTCGTGTCAAAATAAATATACATTATCTGAATCTGGTTTCAGATATACAGGAGTAGGAGATATAGTTGAATGTTTTTTCTGTGGACTTGTTTTACAAAAATGGACAAATGATGACATACCGTGGGTTGAACATGCAAAATGGAATCCTAAATGTATATTTGTTTTACTATGTAAGGGAAATGAATTTATAGAAAATGTAAAAAACGAATATGTAAAAGCAGGTCATGTTTGCGATTGTAATGAGTCTAAATCATATGACACCACTTGTTAGTTTACTTACATTAATTATATTTAAAAATTTTGTGCACGCATTACGAAATAAATATTGAATTTATAGACTTAAATGTGTTTGTATTTGATTTTATACCCTGTGAACTTGTTGTCTAGTGAAATAACGCGTCATGTTTTAATTGAATATTCTGGGTTTTAAAAAATGTAATTTACAGGTTCAATGGATCAGGTAAGTATATTAACCCCCCTCTACACGTTATTTGATTTGATTTCACGTTCACATTAGTTTTTTATACTAATTTTAATATAATCAGATTAATATATAACAGAACTTGAGCAAGTTATAACCTCAGTTTTCAAATATGTGTTGTAACGATCATATAAACGTTAATGACATCCGTGATTCATGTTTTGTTAAGTTGTTATATTTATGCGATGAATAAACAATGCAAAGTTGAGGCTAAATGGTTGTTCAAAATCAGGGTATTTTAGGAGAGGTTCTTTTGTAAGAATACCTTATAATTTTTCAAACGCTTCTTGACAAATGTCCGACCAATAAAATGGAACATCCTTCTTCAATAACGACGTAAGCGGTTTTGCAATTTGTGCAATTTGCCTATAATTTGTAAACGAAACATCGGTAATAACCGGACAGTCCCAAAAATGATTTGATTTCCTTAGCATTTGTTGGAAATTTTACTACGCAATCAATCTTCTGTGGGTTTGGCATTACTCCCTTGTCGGTTATGACATGACCTAAATAGTTCACTTCTTTTCGCAGGAAGGAACACTTGGATGGTTGGAGTTTGACGTTTGATTATCTTAATCTGTCGAATACTTCTTTTAATTTCCTTGAATGTTCTTCAAGGTTAAGGGCATAGATAATGATGTCGTCCAAATACACAAATGCTTTGATCCCATTCAATCCCGTTAATACGGAATTCATCAGACGTTGAAATGTGGCTGGAGCTTTCTTCAACCCGAATGGAACTCTTAAAAATTCAAAATGACCTTTGTCCGTAGAGAAGGCTGTTTTATGGCAATGGTCTGGGTGCATTTTTACTTGATGATAACCTTGGGCCAAGTCCAACGTAGTATAGTACCTCGATTTTCTTAATTGGTTCAAGATTTCTGTGATATTCGGTATAGGGTAAGCGTCTCCTGTTGATATTTGGTTTAATTTTCTGAAATCCACTCACACTCGATATTTCACTACACCGTTTTCATCGGGCTTCTTCGGAACTACGAGTAATGGCGCATTCCAAGGGCTTTTGCTTGGAGCAATAATATTGTCTTCTTCAAGTTTCTGGATTTGTCTATCGATTTCTTGTCTGTGCTTAAAAGGTAACCGATATGGACGTACATTAATCGGTTGTGTGGCTTCACTTGTTTTAATTTCATGATAAATCTGGTCGGTGCAAGTTAGTTTATCTCCATCTAATTGGAAGATATTTGAGTATTCCTCACATATTGG